TTCCAGTTTTTCTCATAACTTCTTCAGACAAGCAGTGGAGCCAACGACAATAAGCAGGTTTATTTTGCATGTTGCTTTGATATGTAGATTAGAGGCAGAGTCTGACTTTATACACAGCTTGAAATTGAGTAGGCTCGATGGCATAATTGATCACAAAACTTTTTTTTTAGAAAATTAAGACGTATAACTTATCTTGATTAGAACAAAAACTTGCTCTTCTCTCTCCTGCTTCTTATCATGAATGGTAGAAAATCATTCCTAAAGCAAAACTTTCAGCTAATTACGTTGTTCTAGAACACTTGCCAGATAGATATTCTATTCAGTTGTGTTTTGTGAATTTTCTTCAAGCATGCCTTTCATTAGAATTTTTTACTGTGTTAGCATCTGCAATGTTTCACTGTAACCCAAAGGAGTTTTCAGTCTCATCTTTCAGGAACTAAAAGAGATCTCCGACAAAAGGTTGGCAGTTCTCAAACTGGATGTGACTTCTGACGAATCCATCAACAATCTGTACCCACAAGTATTTTTTGTATTCACTTATCACTCTGAATTGAGAAATTGGCGAAATTCCTCGCTGGCGAAATGCTTATTTTAATGTCAGAGTATCCCGAGATACCATATTTGGTTTTTTGAACGTTGTTAAAAGCATGAAGTAGTTGCTTTGCACTCTTCAACTCTCGTCATGCCACTCAGTAACTTCTTGATAACTTCTTACTCCATCTAATAAAAGTCATTCAAGACGAGAGGATATGCTAGCTCTTAAGACCTTCTGAAGATAATTAGTGTTACTATTCTATTTTGCACTTCTTACGAATCTTTCTTCAGAATACTTCAGAAATGGACTAATTTCTAGGTAGAAGAAATTGTGGGAGATCGCGGTCTCACTGTTCTGCTGAATAATGCAGGGATTTTTGTGAAATACACGACGAATCAAAAGCCTGATCGTGGAGCGCTTATTAAAAATTTTGATACCAATGCTGCCGGTGTAGCTGTTCTTACTCAGGTTTGTCAAGCAATTTTATAGTTGAAATAAGTAAATCAATCTTTAGCACCAA